GGTGCATCGAAACCTTCGCTTTAACCTTCCATCCAGTACTTCCACACAATTTCTGCTCCTACGTAATCTTTGGTTAAAGATTTCTCGAGGTTCAATTGGATTAATTTGTCCCGGATATTGTACCATCAGCCAAGGGCTCAATGGATATCCTTCGTCGCCTATAAGATGGTAGTCAATGTTTTCATTTAAATATTTGTTTCTTAGATGCCTGTTTACATTAGACATCATCCATATAGCGGAATCATATACACTTTCCGGATAACGAGCATTCATATTTAAAATTTCTAAATGAGCATCTACTATAATTTGAACATTTATGCTATAAAACCCCTTTCGATTTAAATACGGTGCTGCTAGATGGACAGGATGATTAACTTGAGGGGTAACAATTGCAACGTGCGTGCCATCATTTGCACCAATGGCATCTAAAATCAGGAAGAAATTGTTTTAAGTTGATGGGTATAATATTTGTTTTTGCATGAGACCCTTACGAGGAAACTGGTATTTTTCAAAAAAAAAATTGCTTCTTGTAATTTATTTCTTGTACGGTAACAGGAAACTTTATCCAGGTATTTAAAAGATGTTCATTTATGATATTTGTTACTTGCAACAAACAGCGACTTACGGACGGTTGACTAATACTAAAATTTCCTCCTTAACCAATATCTAACTACCATGGCCATAGAAATGAAGAGAGCATAGAACTTTAAGATAATTTGGGATACCTGTCTGTCGCAAGACATTATTCATATGGGGTGCTAGTGTGTTTGTAAGATATCTTGGTGCGTCTTTACTTAATCTGAAAAGTTTTAGAAAAGAAAAATTTGGAAGGTCGAAAGGATTCGTACCATCTCGTAAGCGATGCCTAGCAAGACGAAATTGTCGTCTAAAATGATTTTCGTAGTTTATGTAAAAGTATAGTAACTATTATATATGGTACCTTTCTCTTCTTTCTTCGTTTTGCATTAACAACCACCCTGGTACTGCAGCTATTTTTAAAACTTGACATGACAGTTATATTATGAAGGCATGTCATAACTTCCCTTTAAATTATAACTTTAACAGGAAATTTTAACAGGGGTTACGTTAAAATTTAACAAGATTTGCATTTACAGAATACGATTACTATTATTAAAGGGGTGTTATCTTTTAACAGACTGTTATAAAATAACATAAAAGTTACAGAATAGGCCTCACCATCTCATCCTCGTATAATGTAATGACTCTGAACTACCCCTAGAGGAAAAGTTTTATTTTTCGACACCTCGTGTGTTATTTTTAAAGTCATGCATTGCATTTTGTTCCACCTTAACAGAAAATTTGGTTGCTCGACCCACAAGAACAAATTTGAAAACTTTGTGGGTTAAAAAAAGTCCTTTTAATATTAACAGGGCTCGGTTTTATTAAAACACTCCGCTGCGCGTCGTGCTTCAAAATTAAAGCCTCGCCTGTAAAATGTTACCTACCGCACTCATAATGTAAATAACTGTTACGGTAACACGATAATCTGGGAATAAGTGCTGTTATCAGTTCACCAGGATCTCAAACGGGCAAATTAATATTAATTTTTTGAGTGGAATGTGCTAAACAGCGTGTGTGTGATTACTGGGTGTAAATATGTGGACAAAAAGGTTGGTCCTGTTGTAAGTTTTCATAAAAATTAATGAGAGCGTTGCACTGTTTTAGAGTTTTATATGGTTTAGTGGGTCTTTATATGACGATATCGATTTGTCAGAGCAGTTACTTTTTGGCGAGGAAAAGGTCGAAAAACCACAACAACTTCTTCGACTATTGCTTTTGTGTTACGAACAGTTCTTTTGCATTAAGTTGGATTCAAGAAGATATTACAGAGAAACTTGACTGTGGTAGCTCAAAACAAAGAGATATGAGATATTATTTTTGGGGTTTCAAGAGAAAATTTGTAGCTTAAAGAAATACTTGAGTATACGACAAAATATGCTAATATTGCTTAGACCAGACGTTACATTTAAAATACGCTATCAAAATTTTATTTAATATTTTTTAAGTGACCACCCCTTTATATATATATTGTTTATATGGTATATTAAACACGTTTTTATTGTAGTTTCAAAATATATACCAGAACAAGCAGATGGCGAAAGGAATTATGACATCAAAGACGACGAAATTACCAGAAAATATTTCATGAAAGACCCTTGGCGGCTGCAGACTTCGATGCAGTCCAACTTTAACCACCCAATTTTAGACGAAAGATGGGAAGGTATTCCAAAATAATACATTCAAACAAAAAATATTTTATTATTTTTGCAAATGCAGCCATGAACGTGATAAAAACGGAATACGTGGAACGAAGTTTTGAAAAAGTAAAATACCAACACTTTCAAAACATAGTTCTGAAGAAAGAGAGCTTCGACATTCCCCTGTCCATCAGAATCGAAAAAGAGGGTCACATATTTCTTTGCGACGGTGAATATCCACCGATCTCCCGTTGCTACTGGTTTATGCTGCAATCCTTTAGTGGAATGGGCAGTGCAATACGAAAATGCGAAAAAGGACACATCCCTTCAGAACCTGGAAAATTGCCTCAAACATCTTGCAACGAACAAGGAGTATACAAAATCGTATGTATTTCAAATTTTCTATTTTTCTTACACTTGCATCGTTTATGTTTAGCACACCATTGTCCCTACTTTTCTCTCTAACAAAATGTGGTCACATTTTGTTGTGTCTAAACACAGAAATGTACTGAAATTTAGTCAGTTTAGTGATCAAAAAGAAAAACTAATAATGGAATGGAAAGATTACGATATTCCCATAGACGTTACACATATTATAGTCCACAGCAAAGAAAACAGTGGTCTATGGAAGATTCATAACTGTAAGTTATGGAAAAATAAGTCAGTGCTTACATAGAAGACTAATACTTACATATTTTCAGTTGAGTTTCTTTATGCGGATGCTGCAAGTAGCGAGGTTAATTTAGGTCCTCCTATATTTAGTGATACATTTGTATGCATTTCAATGTACGTCACGATGTGTCCTTCTTGTAAATTGGTACTATCTTTAGAGGATGGGCAACATGTTTTAAAAACGGAAGAATTCGAACTCAAAGTACGTATTTAGGACGTAAACAGATTAGAGTAACTTTTGCTTTATTCTTTTGTTTCGTGACTTTCCTTGTTTATAATAAAGTCTTCTTCTGTACATAAGCAGTATCGGACTTAACTTAAGCAAGTCTTTAAACTTTTATTACATTTTAAAACAAAATGGTCAAAGTGAAAAATCAATGAGTGATTTGATATAATGTAGCAGTAAGTAACTTTTCGATCTGTACTGCTTATTGTCAAATTTTAAGAAAAATATTTGAAAAACCAATATATATATATATTGTATATACTGCTACATGATGATAACTTTATAGGCTATAACAAAAAAAGTTACTAATTTTAGATCGCACTGACGATTCAAAAGTATTAATATAATTCGTATCTCCCAAAACATATTGGCCACCTATTGTATTATCTAGACTGCAGTACTGCAATATTATGTCAAACCACTGATTATGTTTTTAACTTTAGTCGTCTTGTACCAAATCTAATGATATTTTGCTTTCTCAGCTCGCATTAAATACAGTTCCCGTCATAACTTTTTGGACATCTATGTCTCATTTGTCATAAATGTAAACCGACCCTTAGTACTTACTAACCTTATTTTTCGTTTTGCTTTGATAATCCTTCACAAAGTGTGACGACTTATAAAGATTATCAAGAACAGAAAATCTTATTTAAGAGTGCTGCAATTTGCCGGTAAGACATACCACCTTCTACCAACGATATTATTCTGACTTTACAGCTTATAGGTGGTATTTCGAACAAGATGACTTTAAGAAAATCAGTAACAGTTAAGCTTAAACTACAATGACTTTTTGACATTGACGGATATTTGATGTCCAAAAAATTATGACGGGAACGGTATGCTAAAATGCAGAACTGATTGCCCACAAAACAATTTAGCATGCAGGTTGGGACCAAATAAAAATTATGACTGAAAACGCCAACACTTCAAACGCAATAAAATTATTAGTAACTACTAAAAGTTCAGACCCAAAACCTTATTGGGCGATCGATAAAGTCAGATTATGTCGAAAAAAAGGTAAAAATCAAACAACCAGAATTGTATCAGATAATGATTATTAACTAATATACTTATTATTAGAATTTCGAATGCTGAAATCACGGACATGGGCATCGTGTCAATTGATATCTGATTCTGAACAAGTTACTGATGTTAAGGGCCCATCTCAACCTAACCTTAACAGCAAGTGTCCAGAAGATACGATTGGGGAATTTTGTGTACCATGTCTCTGGATGTCTATAACCTGTTATAACTTAAAAGTTTGCAAAGAGCGGAAGTGCGTTTGTTCCGCTGGTTACTTAGGTTCAGATTGTTATCAATGTAACAATAAATATTACAACAATATTTTCCCAATATTAATATCGGTTAATGATTTTAGTTTGTCCACGCAAGACTTACGGTCATGGGTGTCAAAAACAATGTACAAACTGCAAGTATGACTGTAACGGGGTGACCGGAACGTGTCCTGGTGGATGTCGTGAAAACTACTATGGTGAAAAATGCGATATACGTATGTTAAAATAAAATGCACAGGAATAAAAATAAATAACCTTCTTTCTCTCTCGATATAACAGCACCAGCAACATTTGCGAATCCTCCAGAAATAACTGAAATCTCGTATACAGAAGCTACCGTCAGAGTCTCAAATTTCCAACTTGAAAATTCTGTATCTTACCCCATAGCACAATATTACACAGTGCAATACAAAGTTGTAATTTTAGTTTTTAAAATATTGATCTGAAAACTCAATTTTTTAGACGGCCGAAGCTTCGGATATCAACTGGAGAAACGTGAATGATCGATACCACAAATTCAACACCACTGGAATTTTTAAAATCCTTAATTTGACATTAGGAACACAGTATCTTGTTCAAAGTGTTATTATGGAACCAAACGGAAAGTGGAATATTAATGATCATTTAAAAGTTAATAACTTTGCAACAAGATGCGACGGTAAGTACTTTTTTTGTTATCGCAATGTTTTGAAGTACGCAATCAATTTTGTAGAAATTTCCGAGGATGATATTAATATTGAAACATCCAAGACTACTGCAAGAATATATTTATCGGAGGTAAGTACTTCAGGTTTATAGGAAACATTACAAAGTGAAAATAATTATTTTATTCGTAAGGGTACTACACTTACTTGTAAATCGCATTTCATAACGTTAGATGAAGAAGGTGCTGCTGGTTTTTCAAACAGGAGCGGTACTTTTTTGACTAAGCTGCTGCCCTATAAAAGTTACAAGGTTATAGTCAGAGGCATACAGAAAACATACGAAAAAAAATTTGCAACCGACGAAAAAGGTATTAAAATCGTATTAGTTTATTATGTGATTATTTTCAGTTTGAAAATTAATTTTAGCACCCACTGTTGTTTTGAGTCTTACGGGCACCGCTGCGTCCGCAACGACTGTAGATTTAAAATGGACCGAACCGTTGTCCTTAAATGGTGTTTTTAAACACTATGTTGTAGAATACCAAGTAAATATTTAGTTTGATAAATAATCGGATAAGACGTTCAGAAACACAATTTTCAGCATGTGTCTTACCGAGGTTGTAATTTTTTTTCTGTTGAATCGCCAACGAAATTTCGTCGAGAAACAGAAAATACGTCCGTAACAATTACCGAACTGATTCCTTATTCAACATACGAATTTACTGTGTTTGCTTTAAACACAAATTTCAGTGGACCACCGTTTTCTAAAATAACAACAACAGCTAGTTCTGAGGAGATCCAACCAGAAGAATTACTCAACTTCGTTCAAAGTTTGACGGTTCACTACTCTCTCCAACAACTGAATACACAGTAGCGGTTTATGCATTTAACGGGGAAGATGGAGATTCAGCACAACAGATGACAACGAGTCCACTTGACGTCCCAAAGTTATCAGACGACCCCGAATTCGTCATTTCAAATGGTTTACTTAAAATTTTGGTTTTACCGAACAAAGTCCGGGGATATACCCACACCTACCAACTCTTAGTTCTAAGATCAGACAAACAAAGCAATCTCGAACTATATCCTAACTTACAAGAGTATGAACTGAAAAACTTGAAAGTCATTGTGGAGTGTGACCTTTCACAGATACCAGAAACGTTAGAAATATATGTTGGAAGTCTTCAACAGCAGCCCAGTTGCAAGGACAAGGATAATTCTTCTCTGAAGGCAGAAATTACTGGCAACATCACGATCGTTTTGCAAAATTTTTTCAAAAATGAGTGTAGGACTACCATATACACGTATAACCCAGTGGAGAAGATGAAGCGAGTCGTTGTAAATCCTAACTACTATTGGCCGCCTGTGCTATTAATTCTAGTACTGGTAGTGACATTCTTTGTATTGTAAGTATTTTTGATTTCAAGTTAATAAGTTTGCTTGGCAAGGTTTGTAATATTTGAGTTCAAAAGTGAACCAAGCAAATCAGTTTTTCTTAGCTTTTGTATACTATTTTTATAGTAAATGGTACACAAAGAAGGATGTCGGATTTTCATGGAGAAATCATACATCAGGTAAGAGAAAAATAAAACAGTTATAAAATTTACAACAAGAGTAACTTGACAAAACTAAATTATTGTTTCTAGACTTTTTCTTACAGTACCTACAGTTAGCTCCAGTTTGTTTTTCATTTTTTATACTTACATTAATCTTCTATTTCTTTGTTCTTAGACAGTAGAGCAGATCGTCAAACAATCGAGTTACCTTTAGTGTACACAAAACAAAATAGACGAAAATGCAAGAAACCTCAACATGTAAGTTGTTTTAAATGACGATCAGATCTACCCACAATTAACACTTTCAGATAAACGCTGTTAGTGGAAACCTAGACCATCTTTCAAAAATCATTGGACGTAAAAATTTCCAAAATTATACTAAAATGTCTCACGACAATCAGGATTTGAAGCAACAACATGAGGTACATTTCGAAATTAATATAGCATAATCAACAAATTATCTAAAGTTTTTCTTTAATCTGGCGTCAACCACTTTTATTATAGGCAATTCTAGAATTCATTTGCACCTACGAGACTGTTCAAGTTACGACAGACTCCGTCGAATATGTCGACATGATTTATATTAGCGTAAAGATGATTTGCTTTCATTTTCAAAATCTACCAAAATTTTTGTAGGGTCTTCAAATTAATAAAACTTACGCTGTCACCAAAATACCGACTTCTAATGAATACGACGTATTTTGGGAAACAATATGGACGGAGAATATTCGCTACATTGTATTGTTTGAAAACAACCACACAAACGACAGAGTGAGATTTATAAAATAACATCACAAACACACTGAATTTAATAATTGCAGTCCGACGTTAAACTATACTGGCCCACCGAAGGCAAAAACGTCTATGGTGATGTCACCGTACAGTTTACTACGTCGGATGATCATCACTTGTTTAACCACAATAAATTTACCATACAATTTAAAAACAAATCTCGACAGGTTATTACCCGGAAATTCGATTATTTTCGTTCACTGTTAATGTTCTAGATCGAGCAACTACATTTCCGCCTAGAGTCAGACGACGGATTTTATTTATTCTCCCTTAATTACGTAAACTTTTTCCAAAAAATGAGCAAAATTCCTCATTCTTGCGAATCACCGATTCTGGTCCACAGCAGGTTTGTTATAAAGTGCGCTTAAAGTGTTCTTTAAGAAAATTTTGGATTACAGTTCAGGAATGAGAGGGGCCGGTTTCGTTCTGCTTTGTGACATGTCTTTGAGGACAGCCACGAAAGACGGAGCAGTAGATGTGATGGCAAATCTCAAAAACCTCACACAGTACACTTCGGAGTTGATGGTGGATTTCGACCACTACGTAGCGGCTCACACCGTCATCGCGGACTCCCTTCGTGACATTGACACGACCATAAAATGCAACGAGTTCGACGTTAACAAAGAAAAACTTTTCGACGAGGCTGAAATCCAGAAGCATCTTCATTATCTGCAGGATACTGAGTGGTTAGATCGAATTAAATACGATGACGATGAGCGCATCACTCAAGCGATCCGTCCTGGTACGACGAGTGTAACATAATTGTAAATTTTAACTATTTCTTTTCAGAAAGTGCAGACGAATTGCTCCCCGCTCCTTGCACTTCTGGAGACGCTGATTCTTTCTTGAAACGGTTCAAGATTGTCAAAGTTTACGGTTTTAAAACTCAGAGAAATTTTATAGTGTTGCATGAACCTAAAGCGAGACCCTTGTGCGATCTTTTCAATCTAGTACAAGATGAAAGTGTGGCAGCAATTGTGACTCTTAACAACGAAATTTTCTTGTGGCCTAACGAAAACCACCCCGTGATAGAAATAAACGCAGACGTCAAATTAGAGCATCAAATGACAAGAAACTTGAAAAGTTGCGATTGGATAACTGTGAAAGTGACCACTGCAACTGTAAATATGGAAGATCACCCGTTTCAAGGTTAAGTGATTTTTTTCTGTTGTAGGCAACACAAATTGTTGAAGTTATATCTTTGAAGAACTGGCTGACGCCGACACCATCTTTGCCAAAGGCTCAGAATTTCATAAATTTTGTTGGCGAATCTAACGAGATTTGTAAAAACGTCGAAATTGTGCTGATTACTGACTGGTAGGTAAAAGGAAAGTGGTTTAGGGTTTACGTTTTAGTGTTTTTCGTTTTAGGGGAAACGTAACTACGTCTGGTTTATATATTACTCTTACGTGTATCATTCAAAAGATCAAAACCAAGGGCGTGTGCGATATTTGTGGCAGTGTTAGAATGCTTCGACGTCACTTTGAGAATTTTGTTGTGAACAAAGTACGTATAAATTATTATAATTAGAAAAATTAAAAAAATTGTTTTTTGTATTCTTTTGTTTTAACTAAGCAACTGATGTGTTTTTTTTTGTTGCAGAAGCATTACATCTTTCTAGTAGAAGCGGCCCGCAACTACCTGAAAGAATTTAATTTATATGAAATGAGATAATGTAATTATTATATCTGTAAGAAAATTATAAATGTTTTTAAAAAATAAATCTAAGCAATTCATTGCGATAATAAGAAACAAATTTATTGCGGTTAAACATCACAGTAAATGTTGAAAATTTTCATCATTCTCTTCAAGGCACATGTTGGCTGTCTTTTTAATTTCAAAAATGTTCTGTAACATCCTTTCGTCGATAATTTGGACCCGTTGTTCAATTGTTCAATTCTGCTCAAGTCGTCTCAGGTCATTCCCCAGATACCTACTTAAAATCATCCACGAGAGCTCTTTTTGTTGGCACTGCCAGTTCGAACAAGTCTGTTGTTTACATCTCTAGTGTGAGCCTTTAACGATGTTTCTTGAATTATTAATCACGATTTTTGGCCAGATATTCTTGTTTACAAGCGGTTACAGAATGCACCCATTCTTCGTTGAAGACGTCCCGTTGCGGCAACAAGACATAACGATGAAAGTGTCTTGTTTAATAGAATAAACCATTTTCATAGTCTTCGCTTCGTAGCACAAAAACAAAATTTTCGTACGCAACCACCAAGAGTTCTGAAAATGACTGTAAATCGCACTTGAAAAACATTAAAACAATAAAAACGGCGAGTTTAAATGACAGGTTACAAATGACATTAGACATCAATGTGACAAGTGAGAACTGTCATAATGATGCATAATCACGGGCATAATTTCAGCGAGGCGGAATTTTTGAAATCCATGGCCAACTACGCCCTTAGAATCATTTATAAAAGTCAGCCTGTATTAAAGACAAAAGTATTTTACAAACTGCATTTTTTTAAACTACGAGTAGTCGTAGTTTTGATATTTGTTCCAATTTTTGCACATTTTCACATCAATTTAAATTACTCTTATTTGGAAAGATTAGGCATAATTTGAGGGTTGCCTGAAAACAACTTTTTTTGTAATCTCAATGCAAAAATTATAAAAAAAAATCAGCACGAAATCGTAAACCTCAGAAAATTTCGTATATGAATGGTCAGTTTATGAATAAAGTTGGTAGACAGTCGGGAAGAAAAATTTGAATTTTTGATTTTTGGTTCAAGGATTTTGAAGACACTTTTAAATAATAAAGGATACCTGCAGAAATGCTATTTACGCAAGTTTTTGTCCAACAGAATATTTGAGAAATGAAGAAAATTTTAGTTAGAAAAGCGAAATGTCAAGAAAATATTTTGACGTTCTTTTTCGCTGCAAATATTTTAACGCAACGCCTACTGGAAAATTGTTTAAAGCAGCGTACTCGATACTAAGTTACAATTTCGTAGGGTTTGAATTTGAAAGATTAGTAGGTATAAGTTAAAAATAGGTCAGATAAAAAATTTAAATCATTATTTGAGCGTTAGGGCATTTTAAAGGGGGCGGTTTTATTAAAGCACTCCGCTGCGCGTCGGCCCTCAAAATTAAAACTTCGCTTGCAAAATTTCACCTACCACACTCATAATGTAAATAACTATTCTTATTGATTTTTGAGTCAAGGATTTTGAAGACATGTTTACATGAACGAATGTATTTTAAAAGAGATTACAGACAACCTGATTAGATAAATTATAATCTTTTACCACCAAATCCTATACCAAATATTGGGGATTAACACAATTTCGTAACCTTGAAAAAATTGCGGATAATTTTTTTTTTTTCATTTTCAAATAAAATCGATTTCAGAAAGATAAACTCAGTCGTTTTAACTAGGCTAACCTGTTACCATGTCATCCTCGTATATTGTTATGACTCTTAACTGCCCCTAGAGGAAAATTTTAATTTTTCGTGTGTTATTTTTAAAGTGATGCATTGCACTTTGTTCCACCTAACAGAAAATTTGGTTGCTCGATCCACAAGAACAAATTTGAAAACTTGGTGGCTTAAAAAAAATCGTTTAAATATTAATTTTGTTTAAGATGATAAGTTATTTTTTGGCTCCCCGATCTGCAAAGAGATCATTCATAAGTGTCTGATGTATCCAGTAACTGCGATTTTACAGTGATTCATTGATTAATCACATCGCGGTGAGGTAAAATAACTCGGAATTTTTTATGTGTAAGAGGCTTTTAAAAAATAAATTGTTCTACAAATAACAAAGGCTTCATGCAAAAATACAATTTACGCAAGTTTTTGTTCAACAGAATATTTGAGAAACGAAGAAAATTTTAGTTAGAAAAGCGAACTGTCAATGCCTACTGTAAAATTGTTTAAAGCAGCGATACCGAGTTATAGTTTCGCAGGGTTTGAATTTGTAAGATTAGTATAGGTATAAAAATAGGTCCGACAAAAAATTTAATACATTATTTGTGCTTTAGGGCATTTTACAGCGCTCGGTTTTATTAAAGCACTATGCTGCGCGTCGTGCTTCAAAATTAAAGCCTCGCCTGTAAAATGTTACCTACCGCACTCATAATGTAAATAACTGTTACCGTAACACGATAATCTGGGAATAAGTGCTGTTATCAGTTCACCAGGATATCTCAAACGGGCAAATTAATAGACAGCGGATTTCTGTCGGGCTTGGCAAGGCCAAACTCGGTACGGCTCGTGCGGGATGGGAATTCAGAACAGTTACTAGCTGCACTTCGTCTATTTTCGAATAAAATAACGGTGCTTCGTTGTACTTTGCTGTTAATTCCCGTTCTCATTTACCTAGCTGTTTTACGAATTAAGGTTTCGTGAATTGTATTTATGGAATAAGTGAAAATTAAATGCACTGATTATTACCCGCTACTGATTCACAGCGATTCACGCGTCCCCACCTAATAATCGTGACGTAGCCCGACAGAAATCCGCTCTCTACAAATTAATATTCATTTTTTCAACGGAATGTGCTAAACAGCGTGTGTTTGATTACTGTGTTTAAATATGTCGACAAAAAGGTTGGTCCTGTTGCAAGTTTTTATAAAAATTAATGAGAGCGTTGCACTGTTTTAGAGTTTTGTATGGTTTAGTGGGTCTTTATATGACTATATCGATTTGTCAGAGCAGTTACTTTTTGGCGAGGACACAGTGGGGCTACAACCACTACTATTATTATTGTGTAACGAACAGTTCTTTTGCATTAAGTTGGATTCATGAAGATATGACAGGGAAACTTGACTATGGTAGCGCAAAACAAAGAGATATTATTTTTGGGGGCTCAAGAGAACATTTGTAGCTTAATGAAATACTTCAGTATATGACAAAATATGCTAATATTGCTTAGACCAGACGTTACATTTAAAATACGCTATTACAATTGTATTTAATATTTTTTAAGTGACTTCCACTTTAGATATATTGTTAGAAAACTGGTCATTAAACACGTTTTTATTGTAGTTTCAAAATATATACCAGAACAACGAAATGGCGAAAGGAATTATGACATCCGAGACGACGAAATTACCAGAAAATATTTCATGAAACACCCTTGGCGGCTGCAGACTTCGATGCAGTCCAACTTTAACCACCCAATTTTAGACGAAAGATGGGAAGGTATTCCAAAATAATACATTCAAACAAAAAAATATAATATATGTTCTTACTTTTGCAAATGTAGCTATGGACGTGATCAGAACGGAATACGTGGAATTAAGTTCTGATAAATTACTCTACCAACACTTTCAAAACATAGTTCTAAAGAAAGAGAGCTTCGATATTCCCCTTTCCATCAGGATCCAAAAAGAAGGTCACATATTTCTTTGCGACGGTGAATATCCACCGAACTCCCGTTGCTACTGGTTCATGCTGCAAGCTTTCGGTGGAATGGGCAGTGCAATACGAAAATGCGAAAAAGGATACATCCCTTCAGAAGATGGAAAATTGCCTCAAACACCTTGCAATGAACAAAGAGTATACAAAAACGTATGCATTTCAAATTTTCTATTTTTCTTACACTTGCATGGTTTATGTTTAGCATACCGTTGTCCCTACTTATCTCTCTAACAAAATGTGGTCACATTTTGTTTTGTCCAAACATAAAAATGTACTGAGATTTAGTCAGTTTAGTAATCAAAAAGAACAACTAATAATGGAATGGGAAGATTACGATATTCCCATAGACGTTACACATATTATAGTCCATAGCAAAATAAACAAAGGTCTATGGAAGATTCATAACCGTAAGTTATGAAAAAATAAGTCTGTGCTTACATAGAAGACTAATACATACATGTTTTCAGTTGATTTTCTTTATGCGGATGCTGCAAGTAGCGATGTTAATTTAGGGCCTCCTATATTTAGGGCAGATACATTTGTATGCATTTCAATGTACGTCACGATGTGCCCTTCTTGTAAATTGGTACTATCTTTAGAGGACGGGCAACATGTTTTAAAAACGGAAGACTTCGAACTCAAAGTACGTATTTAGGATGTAAACAGGTTAGAGTAACTTTTGCTTTATTCTTTGTTTCGTGACTTTCCTTGTTTGTAATAAAGTCTTCTTCTATACACATGCAGTATCGGACTTAACTTAAGCAACTTTTTAAAGTTTTATTAAATTTTAAAACAAAATGGTCGAAGTGAAAAAACAATGAGAGATTTGACATAATGTAGCAGTACATCAAAACAATCCTCAAAGAGGTAACATCTTTAACGAGATTTAAGAAGCTACATTTTGTGCGAAACTGATCGCACAAAATAAGTAACTTTTCAAACTGTACTGCTTGTTGTCAAATTTTAAGCAAAAATATTTGAAAAACCTATATATATACAGGGTGTTAGGAAATGCTTGCAACAAACTTTCAGAGCAAAGGCATTACAAAAAAAGAAATCTAAAATCTATGTACAACTTTTTTCAAAAATGTATAGTTTTTCTTTTAAATCCCCTTAAAAATAAGTATCACACCGTTTTGGAACTGCATGGAGGCCAATTTTTCAATAATACGTTCCATTATTAAAATTTCTATTGTTACTTAGCAACGAATTAGGAATGGCAATTTGCTTTCTATCTATCAAGGGAATCGTTAAAAAAAAGCATCGTTGCTTAGTTACCGAGATACACTAACATTGTTCAAATTGTTTCAAATATTATTGTTAGATTTATAACTGTCATTGTCAGTAATACTCATTGAGAA